TCTCTCTCTCTCTCTCGCTCTCTCTCTCTCTCTCTCTCTCTCTCTCTCTCTCCTTCGCGCACTTTTGCTTGTTGAGCTTCTGTTTGCCTGTCACTATACAGGAAGCCTTAGTGAGAGTATATAGGAGAGGAAGCATGGCTGGATAGTTTACTTCGGAATTCACAGGTTTGTATTTCATTTACTTACGTTTTAAATGAATAGTAAGTAGCATGAATGGTATTATTGTAGCGACATCAACTTGGTGCGATTCTGTGATAGCGGGGCTGATGCAGTGCTGTGTGGTGTTCTACCGACTTGTTACTCTTGTTTTCATGAGAATTGTATTGGAAGTCCTCCTCAAAAAACCTTGTCAGGCAACAAAAACACTCAAGCCACAACGTGTTGAGTTGATACTTATTTTCCTCTCGTAATCAGTTCTGTGTCGCTCTAGTATGAGTGAATGCAATCATTAATGTAGGGTATTTGCAATCGACGCTGCGAGATTTATTTTTCACACCAAATCAGAAGTTAAAAACGGTTACAACGAGCACAGCTGTTGTTCCAGACCTCTGAAAATGTAGAGAGCGGCAGTCCCGATTGACCTCGTCCCCTCCGCGTCACCCACGAAAAAGGAGCAAGCGTTGTGGATTAATAAAAGATAAACGCCAATACTTGAACTCCAGTTTGCTGCATCAATATTTCAAAAGTTGCATTGGAAAGTCTTTGGGTGATGCATGAGCGACTGAGCGTTAGGTGAGTTGCAGACACTTGGGGGTTGGTCGGTGGTCACCAACACACCTCTGACAAGATGTGCTCCACGTCGGCTTGCATGACTCGTATGTTAGTCAAGGCTTGTAGCAAGGGCCCCTATTTTGTCCACAAAGACACTTGTTATTATGCATGGGGGTAAAAGTGCCCCTCAGTCACTTATGTCAGCCCTTGAACCCGTTTCGGACCAATGCAACCGTCATTAAAAACATGTCGTACTCTCCCACTGGAACATTGGCGGTTGTTATGGAAAGACTGTGTGTATTTGCATCACGCACCACTATTTTTCATGTAAATATTTAACCCAACAGCAGCTCTGGAAAGTGTAACACACACAGTCACGTTCTTGTCAAACTTCAACCCTTTCCATGATGTCAGTGCTGGTCGTCCTGCTGATGGTTGCTCATTGGACAGATATGTTGCCAACGTCACATGAGCAAACCTAGAAAACTGGCGTTACCCGAGCCCTTGGGCACTGTGATGTCATTTTCGGTCGACAGCAAGCGGGAGTCCACGGCAAAATGGCAGCGCACTAAGTTGAATGAAAAACAAGTGCATTTTGCTGCCTAATTCGTATTCCACAAACGGACTATGAATCAGAATACCGTGTTTAGGCTAGCGGGTGCGCGTCGAACATAGGGAACATATTCAACTTGAATATTTTTGGGGGGCGGGGTATCAGCAACAGCAGCCATCACAGTCACACCACTGCACAAATCGTCCCATCAAAATAGGAAGAATGGAGGAAAAATAAATAAATTGAAGGCAGCAACACTACCTCAGACTCTACCTCCACCATTAATACGGCACCTTCGTATGATGACAACTAAAAGATGCCATATCATGCTCGCTAAACTTTTTGGACCTTTGAGTCGTGTTAAAATGCTCATTCTTCACCTCAAAACACCCCCAAAGTGGTGTTTTCCTCCATTCAGCCATCTCTGAGCATTCCTGCTCATTCCTGCTCTCGAAGCAGCGGCCCCCCTTCCCAATCCAAAGAGAACGACTGGCTCCTCACTTTTCTACGTCACAAAGCGAGGAGCCAACCCCAGACTGAGGCGAGGCAAGTTTATTTGTGTAGCACATAGAAGCGGGTGATATGACGATAAAAGTATTCTTATTATTAAATGCTCATTCCTTTTCTCGTACTGGTAGAGAATTCGTGATGTGACTGCTTTTTGTCAACAATAATTTATCTCACTTTTTTGACAGCGCATCGAAGGAATTTCTGAGGACATTTCTAGTTCTGGTGCTTGAAATTGTCTTTCCTTATTTCCATTCGCAGCATGAACGTTATGTTCCCGTAGACGGATTTTGTCAGATAAATAATATGAGCGTCCTGCAGTGTGCGCTACTCATTGGTGTTCCCAGGATGGTCAGTATTATGGAGCCAAGTTAACCACCACCACGTCCTGTGAGAGCTAAGCCAGGATGTAACCAAAGACAATCAATCATTAAAAAAAAAAAAAAAACCTCCAGGAAAAATGTTATTAAATAACTTTGACATTTACCCACGACGCAATATGGCTCTATTGCTTCAATTCCAAGATGTGTTGATATACAAACTCAGGTGGCTCATATATTGAAGAGTAGTTGCATCTGGCAGCGCGCTCATCTCCCAATCATAGTGGGGGATTATAACTCTCCGGAAACAGATGTTGCATAATAGCAAAACGCACACACACACACAAGAGGCACACACACACGACACACAAGATGCGCACAGCCGGCTCGAATGAGAACGAACAGAGATCAGAAGATGACCGAGGCAGATTGTCTGCCAATATCAATATTTCGGCTTGACACAAAAATATTTGTC